ACCAATTTGTCATATCCATTTCAATTTCTGGAAAAACAAATACACCTAGAACAAATATCTTCATATATCTTTGGATAAGTGGTTGTTGCTATGGTTATTTTGATCATTTCTGTGATTATGGGATTGGCTGAGTGGACTTAGTATGATTGGCTCCTTCAACTGTCCAGCACAGGTGTCTGATTGCTGCTAACTGTCTGACTACACTGAATTACAACTGTACAGATTGATCAGTGAAGAAATGAAGCTCTGAATACACCAATAATATTTGACAAATTAGTTATGGTTATGATTAGGTTTATAATCATACAAGTGATTAGTAAAATTGGACAAGCACGAAATGGGAGTTCAATTTGTTAATTTTAGGTATGATTACAAACAGAATTTGACAACATGAAGTCCTGTTACCAATTAATCAAAAGTATCACAAAATTTGAAAACTACAAACTAGACATCAGTTTTATGTTTTCATGAAAAAAAAACCAGTTAACTTGGCAAAATGTGAGACAAGAGTGTGCGCACATGACACGTTCTGTTACTTACACTGTTATGACATGTTAACTGTCCCTTTAACCATCCTATTATACTGTCCAATTACAAGCATGACACGGACATTGTCCTATCAGTGCTCAAATCAGGCTGGTGATAACCAATCACATTCAAGAGACAAGAGTGTGTGCACATGACACGTTCTGTTACTTACACCGTTATGACATGTTAACTGTCCCTTTAACCATCCTATTACACTGTCCAATTACAAGCATGACACAGACATTGTCCTTTCAGTGCTCAAATCAGGCTGGTGATAACCGATCACATTCAAGAAATTTGTTTTAGCTTTGATTAATCACCAAATGTCCACCTCTAAATCTGAATCTGGCATCCCCTTTGAAAATGTCAGGTTAGTTTCTTGCTTAAACCCTCAATTGTTTTACTTTGAAGAACCCATTACCTTGGAATTAAGTTTCCTTTATGAAGTGGGTGGGTATAGATTTCTGTGACTGTAGTCTGTAAAAAATGTTGAAATTTCAAGGCATCTAACAATTTATTCCCAGCCTTCATAATTTTATTAATTAAATAAGATTAATAAAACTTAGCTAGTTTTGTTACATAACAGTGTCTTTCATGTGCCTTTTTTCTCTTCTCAAAGGTGGCATTCAGTGTTCTCCAGTAAAAGGGAATTTTTCTTTTCTCATCAATCAAGACTTGGAAGTGAGAAGAGTATACACAGCCATTGAAAGTGCTGCTGTGTTCAACTGCACAACAAATGACTTAACTGCTAATGTCACATTGAATCGAACTGACAGCCAACTTAGACAACAAAAAATAACCAGAAATGGTGCAGTCTTCACTATTCATGGCATCACAAGATATGATGCAGGTCACTACTTATGTGTTGCTAAGAGGAAGAATGGACAAGTTATCACCAGAAAGATCTTATTATATATCGATTCCAGTAAGTTCGTGCTTTTCTTTTCTAAGAATCACAAAGGATTTTTGTGATGTTCCATGGCTATTTGAAGAACAATATGAAATAGCTGTTGCTTTGTACTTCAGACTTTGAAATGTATGCAAGTTATAGTTGGTAATACAGAAAAAATGTAATCAGTTATTTCGCTTTGATTTCTAAATGTCAATTTCTCTCTCTCTCTCTCTCTTTTATAAGGAACTCCTAGTGTTACTGTTGACCCTCATAAGAATAGGAGAGTTTTACATGGTTCCCCTCTTAAATATGTCTGTGAGGGTAATATGGGAACGCTGACTTGGTTCAAAGATGGCGTGGAACTTCCAACAGACAGTTTGCCAGGTGTCAGTGTCTTCTCCTCACATGGTCCTAATGGAATTTTGGAAAAGGATCTGGTCATCTTACAGGCTGACTTTGCACATAGTGGCAGATACAGATGTCTGTTAACTTTAAAAGGATTCACATCTTTTCAATATGTAGAAGTCAGTGTCAAAGGTAACTAAAAGTCATAGTTGCCTAACTGTTTAAGGCTTAAGAGATAAGAAATTTTTTTGTGCACATTTTCAATGTAACTTATTTCTCAGCTCTTTTATTGTGATCATTAGCAGAGTATCTCAGTTCTTTTAAAAGAGTCCAATAATTGGAATCTGATTTTCAACTGGGTATTTGTTACAATGTACTCAACTCTATTTGCATAACTGTATGTGATGAAAATGTTTGCTGACCTTGTAACTTCTTAATAGTTTGGGATGACCTTTTTTCTTCCAGCTCCGGAACCTGCTAGTATCACATCTGTAACACCCCATAGCATATTTGTCAATGACACAGACAGTGGTCCAGATGTAGAACTTGACTGTCGAGTCAGTGGTTTCCCTCCACCAAAGATAACATGGACAAAAGATGGCAAAGAAATAAAGAAGTGTTATAAAAGCCACCCATGTGAAAAGATTCAGCGATATATTTTAACATCCCACAATGGTTTGATCATTCGGAAGAAGAATCTCAGTCTTGATGATCAAGGAGTATATCGCTGTGAAGCAGAGAATGCTTTTGGAAGGGCTTCCAAAGAGATTGTTGTTGATCTTCCAAGTAAGTCGTTTGTTTGGTACTTGTTCTGACTGCTTTTAAGAAAAAAGTGAGAGAAGGTTTGGAAATTTGGGGTTTGTGTTACTGAAATATTTTAATCTGAGAGGCTCATTGAGTTGAAGACAGGTTTAGTAGATAGAAAATTTACACCTTGAAGTGTGTCATGTTGTCATGAAGAGTCATAGCATTGAATGCAATGATTGTCTTTTTTTGAATGGAACAAGAATGGTGAAACAAGAGAAGAATTTTAAATGTTTATCCTACTTTGACTTATGCTCTTTTACGGAGTGGCGATCACAAGTTTATGGCTTCTTGAGTATATTCCCTTAACATTGGCAGAACTAGGCCAGGCGCAGGGTTCGGTCCCTCGAAACTGAAGAAACCAACGTCGGAAAAAAGAGATTTTCAGCGCCCTCGCCCTCTACTGTTGTTCACAGATCCCCGATCCGCTCCAGCCTAGTAGTTCCTTTACATCTTAAAATCAGTATGCAAGTTCGCCTTACTATTCTCTGTGCATTCCTAATAGCACTTCCTAGAAACTTTGTCTTCCAATCAGAAGTGATCATTTCCTTTTTTCTCATGTACCACCATAACGTGTGGTTTAGGTTATTAATTGTAACATTGTACGATATTGTAAGGAGACACTAGATGCGGGTCGCTCTTACGGGCTAAAGGATTAAAGTGAACTTTGATTTCGTTTACAGGTCCTCCTGTATTAGACAAACTAAAGGGAAGAGAGAAAATTGTGAAATGGTATGCAGGGCAGAAAAAGTCAATTGTCTTTTCATGTCATGCTACACGAGGTGCCCCACGGCTACGTTTTAAGTGGTTTATAGCATTTGGTTCGACTAAAATGTTTGTCTCGTCTAAAAATAAATTTTATAAGGGGTGTTTTACTCAAAGAGACGGGGCTAAAAGCAGCATCCTAGAAACACCTGGGAAAGAAGCATCTTCATGTTTCGCCACGCGCCTTCAAGTGAAGTGCTCCGTGGAAAATGATTATGGAAAAGATGAGGTGGTTTATACACTTTTGGAGATCTCCTCTCCTTCTAATGCGCGAGACTAATAGTCCCAGCGACTTGTCTTATTGGTATGTCCCGGCCTGACCATAGCACACAGGTGGCTATGCGTGCGCTAAAGTGAGGTGTTTTTTTGCTCACTGGGTATTGAAACGAACAACTAGATGTACAGTGGTTTATGGTTATCTATGCCTGATGTGGCATTTTTTTTATTGACTTAATGTTTACAATGCACTCTTACTGTTAGTTTTAAGTATTGTTCTTTTAAAGTGATAAGTGAAAATGATTAATTTTAAACTCCAACCTCGTTTGTTTGTCTAAAGTACGTACTCCTAAGTCTATCAAAGTATGTACGACTTGTTGATAATAATGGTTTTTAAGTAATTCGACCTCACATTGAGGGTTTTATTGTAAAGCAGTATATGCTAGTAGTTTTATTCTTTTTATTCCCTCATTTATTTGTATTTACTACTTGTTTGTTGTCGAGCTTATAAATCACATTTTAATCGATAATGTTTACCTGTGCATGAAATTAGATTTGTGGAGATTGTAACGTTAATGATATATCTGAATAAAAACTATTTACTCAATTATAGTAGTTCGTAAAATTACTCGATGAAGTCTATAGAAGTCTATGCAAGTGCTGGGGTAAACTAACTCCTCAGCTTTTTTTTTATTGTAGTTTTAAACTTGGAACCTCCCAGTAGCGAAATACTTTCAACATTAAACTCTCATGAGCATTTGTTTCTGACGATAATTCGAGGATAGTTTCCAAGCATTTGACCTTTTTATTCTCAAAATGTCTTATCAAATAAATTCAATTCAACAACGACGGAGTATAAGTTGAGGACAAGATCTCTCCCTGGGGTGTCATGACAGATGCGATTGCTACAGAACAATAATTCGTAATATGTAATTTTATTAGACATTATCGTGCAGTCTTACTCATTCCCAGTCAACTCCAAAATGTGTACGTTGGAGTAGGCGAGAAAGGGGTGATGGGAAGGAGGTATTAAAAGTTTACATGTGACATGCGTACTGCATGCTACTAAGATCAGCGGTGTTTAAAGCGTTGTGTGAGAATAATGTTGAGATGATCCTAGCAAAGTGCAGGACGCCTAGCTTATTACTGAGTTCTCCAAAGTTCATTAGTGGAGCATCGTAGCGTGGACTGCGAAGGGTTCGATTCCTCTTTGGGGACTCAAATTTTTTTCTTATTCCACGCTTGGGACGAAACAACAGAATTCTTTAAACTATTATTGGATGAGGTTTTTGCGATATCTAGAATAATTAAGGTCGAGGTAGGAGTTAACAGCCGAAGCCATCAGCGTCGGCTGATAACCCTTACCGAGATCTTGATTATTTTGGATATCACAGAAACCGACTTTAATAACTTTTTTTATATACATTGGGCGAAAAAAATGGTTACAACAGTAAGTGAATCTAATATTTTATTTCTAAACGCGTAAAAACATACAAATCAGTGAGCAACACAAAGTACGCGTATTTGACATGATTATCCTTAGAAATCATGCACCGCGGTTATACATGACATGATTACCCATGACCTTATGGGTCCATAGGATAATCTGCAGCTAGATAACATGTGTAATCTGCAGGTGGATGACGTCCCAGGCGCTGATTTCGAGAATTCCCAGTATGCTTACGGCCAATCAAGAGATAGTGGGTTGAAATTGCATAATAATATTAATCATTGGGTGTTACAAGGATCGAACTCTAGACGGGATTTCACTAAGATTTAACACAAATGGTAGAAGCAGTTTCTCCACGGACATATGCAGTCAAAACAACATTGTCCAGCCCGTGCGATGATCCGACACGCCTATTTGCATGTCCAAGCACGCGAAATTTTTTGTTAAAGAAGTAGTACACCTGAAGGCTCATGTTCGCCAATGCCTGGCGGTAATTTGAACTAAAAAGAAACAGAATGACAGGGTTGATTGCTGTACTAAAAGATGGAAACAAGTAGAAAAACAGAGCCACAAAAACCAAACATTTGTCTTTCGCGATGAGATCCGGATGGAACATTTTCAGCGACAGATATATACAAAGTGGCGTCCAACAGACGAAAAATGCCGCAACAATCGATATTAATATTTTCGTGATCTTCTGATGCTGTTTTTGTCTCTTGCTGTTCATCTGGTCTTGTGTCTTATCTGCTGTATTTGGACGATTCCTAACAGTTTTTATAACGCGAGCATAAAGGATTGTCATTACAAAAATTGGCGCACAATAAAATACGACAAAACCTATAAAGTTAAAGACTACTCTCAGCAATCTGCTCCAAACAGTTCTGCAGAAAGTTTTATCGTCGACTTTGACAACTTCGGTATAAATAACATACGGGAAACCACAAACTATCGGTATAATCCAGGTGAGAGTCAAGAAAGCAAGTCGTACTCCTCTACGATTCAACACTATGATCTTTAATGGGAATACAATAGCCACATATCTGTCCACAGAGATAAGAACCAAGCTCAAAACCGACACCACTTGTGATATTCCTCTGAAGTACATTCCCAGTTTGCAAACAACTGAAGCCAAATGATCACTGATAAATTGTCGACTTGTTAACATCCCCTCAGCTGCGAACAGCGGCCAGTTGAAACATGCGCAGAAAAGGTCTGACACGGCCATGTTGACTATGTAATAGTTAGTACTGGTTTTAAGGCTCGTGGTTTTGATGAAGGATACTATAACAACGAAGTTTCCAATAAAAGCCGCTAGTGTTACAATGGAAAGAAGTACTGTAAATAACGTGGTCACTGCATCAGAACAAGACAGATCCTGATTTAGAATCTTTGTCGGTTGAACAGAAGAATTGTTCATTGCTCAAATCAAATATAAGAGAAATGTTTCAAATCGTGTTCTTCGTTGCTTAAAGCGAATCAACGTATCCAAAGGCACGATCCTACGCTGAATGATTCCTGGCGGCAAATATGAAAACAATAGTTAGTTTATAGACTTCTGATGACGAACATCTTTGACTATGAGTTAAAAGTAATCCTGGATCGCATTGGTTTCCCCTCTTCACTCGGTGATTGGTCAAAAATAGATAAACTATCCTCTCATCCAATCAGATTCAAAACTGACCCTGCGTGGTCACTCGCGTTTTCCCGCGCTCCAGGCAGTATTTGCCTTGCTTTTCTTTTTAATTTTTTTTAAGCGAATAATAGCTCCGTGTGATATCAGGATCACATCGACCTTTGTTTTAATTACAGGCCTTTTTAAATCCTTTGGTTTTAGTTTTACTCAAAAGCGAGGACTTTTCATTGAACGCGCTTTAGAGTAAAAGAAAATTACTTGGTAACCAAGAGACTGGTGTGCATTATGATTTCGCAGCATATACATCGATGAAGAATCACGCCTTTCAGCGTGCGCCAAGTACTTTGCGTGTCTGGCTGTCTTGTGGAAGTTTGGACAGCGGAGTCTCCTGCTGCGCAGGCTGTCGTGACGCACGCAATTTTTCATGATTCTCTCCCAAGATCTATACAGACATTCTCCTTGGAGTGCCAGACACTTCGTTAGCTGTAAATTGTGGGAGGTCCCACCTAGATCGACTTAATATCTCCATTTCATAATTTCCTTAATTCTCGTTATCTGTTTATTTGATAGTAGTTAGACTTTGAAAGGAGACGTTGCACGTTGATCACTTCTGTGGGTGGAAAGGTCTATAAACTTTGGCTGCTTCTGAACAGAATAGAACGTTTTAAATCTGCGCATATCTGTTTTGCTTGGGTAAAAAATCACACGAGGGGTATCGATATTCGCTCTCTATTAGCTCTGAAAACTCTTAGCTCGTGTTTCTAAGAATTAAAATATTGATCGAGTCGTTCACCCTGTTGGCGACTTAACGTTTTCTGTTTACAACGATGTTAACTTTAGAAGTTGCGTTGTGCAACGCGACCTCTATTTATCAAGTTCAGGAATAGATAGAAAAGTAAAATACTATGAAAAGCTTGTGCGGCTCCAGTCACGAAAAGGAACCATGTTCAGTTCACCATGGTGACCCGCTAATGTTTAGAGTCAGCTCAAACATCATCCATCCAATTACGCGTCGTGTGAAAATTTGTTCGCCTTCCCGAAAATCGAAGTTTCTGCTCTTATGAGGCTGGGGTATCTTCCGGCTAGGCTAACAAACGCAAACTAAACGTCGTGTCTCTCAGACGATCTATCATGACCCACAAAAGACCTCGTGTAACAAATTAATTCGCGAATCTGGTTAACAGAATAGAATGAAACAAATGAAAACCAATCAACCATTGCAATATTCTCAGGTAGCATTATATATTCATGTCTTTTCAAGCTTTTTTCCATGCTGTAATCTTTTTATTACCACTTTTGACAATAGATATGGACTGCTCTGTTCGTTTTCATTCTCTCAATCTATTAGCTTGAAACAAGATTGCTTTAAAATTTTCTGATTTCCGGCAAGGTTTTCTGCATATTGGATAAATTCACATCAAAGCTTCTGGCCAATGTGCCGATGAAACCACAGGCATAGATTACACCCCAACACATTGAGTTAGCAATGCGTTTTCATTTCTTTCATTTAACTATATTAGTCGCTTTCCATCTGTGCATCGGTTTAATTGCTTTATGTGATACATGTTTGATCACGTTTTATCAAGTACCGACGCCTTTAAACGTACACGTGCAGTCGTAAAACATTCAAAATAATCAGCGTAGAAAGACCTTCAAACATTTTAAGCCGACTTCGTTGATCAACTTCAGACAAGTATTGTTATTAAGCTTAGAACTTGTAGAGAAACTAATGTTTTACCGTTTGATGCGGGAAAAGACCCTTTTTTTTCGAATTTCAAAGACCACTTGACCATGAAGCAACAAAAATGTTATACACTTTTGAAAAATTCTCGTATAGTGCAAGGAAAGCCCTCTTTTTTTTCTGTAAATTACTTCAGTTGCACTCGGCAAATTCATGAGTACATTGTAACATTAATATTTTAAAACTGATGAGTTCTTTGGTGGTTAAACTGGCACTGAACTATGTGACTAAGCTGTCTCGTCGTTATCAATAGCTTAGTACCAAACCATTTTCAAATTTATAAAATTCTTAAATTTCAGCAAACTGTACATATGTTTGTATAATCACATCACGTTTCGGCTAACGAAAGTTTTCAAAACTTCATTGTTAACTTCAACCTAGATTTTTGTGATAAAATTTCCCTGCGGGTGCCAAACAACTGAAACACAACGCTTTCGGGTATATTAGTCCTTCTGAAACTTTGCATCCCAGAATTGTTCAAGTGAAGCGAAAATTTCTTGCATTCGAGAGAAAGAACAGTTACCGAGCCCTTACCTTTTTAAACTCCGTGAAACGAGAGGCGAAGATTTTTCAGGTGTTCTCAGTAAGTGTCGTATCTTTGTAAACACTTAATGCATGGTAGATTATCTAGTGATAGGTTGATACTTATTATATCATTACCCCCCGTCGTTAGCCTCAGGAAAGATAACAATTGTAGCTTGAAAAACAAGTGGTGTACTACAATTTGGCTGGATGAGAATACAAAGGCTCTTTTCATAGGTAATGCCTAATTGAACAAATTGTGTGGGTTATCCGTCATATCTGGCACTTTGTTATTGAATGCTTAAACGTGCCTTGAACCATAACAGGTCTTCCAAATCGGCTCCTTGAATAAAAACAATTCATGCCTCATGCAATCGCGTGACTAAATCCGGCTGAAGATCCAAATGGAAATTTAAGTGTTTCTGATAATTAATATGTTAATTCATGAAATTTTGTGGTTCTATTCAGACAGTTTTGTTTCTTTGCCATAGACAATGTGAAATTGAAATTTGATTAAATTTGCTCGCAACAAGAGCAAGAAACTCCACTCATTTGATGAAAATAAATTGAATTATATGATTTATAATCACCTTGCGCCTTTTTTTCCTTTTTCATAACACCTTTTTTCTCCGTTGATAGATTATTGCCGAGGACGCAAAATATCAAAATGCGATACAAATAATGAAAATATTGAAGCGATGGAATTACTGTTTGCCTTTCTATTTTTGTATTGACATTTTGTACAAAATCATATTTTGTCTACAAATTGTAAAATTGCGTATTGCGCACTGTTGCTACGTACTGTTGGTGCGCACTGCTAGTACGTACTGCAACTAGTGTATCACGAACCATAACACGGTCTATCACAATTTATTGTTTCTACTTCATAAACATGGTCTCAACTGTGTTTTAGCATAACAAAAATTTCAAAACCTAGTAGAGTTTTTTTTTAGAGTGGACATTAAGATACCCTGGTGAACAGCTGTAATTTTTCTTCTTTTAAACGGAACACTTGCCCCGTTCGCCTGAAAAAACGCAATAAACTGCGCCAGTTCTGCAAGCTATTTTAAGTTCCACTAGGTTTTGAAATTTTTTTTAAGGCTAAACACGGCTCAGACCTTGTTTATGAAGTAGAAACAATAAAAAAGTATGAAAAAATAAAGTCTACTGATTACAGTTGCTTCTAGCTTACGGCTGATGCAACCCCTAAAAGAGTACCTTAGTTTTCTTACAACCGCTGCCTCAGCACAAACTATGTCGTTCATTCACAGTCAGCTAAATTTGCTTTCGGACGTTGGATAGCTGTTGCTTTCGTGAAAATATACTGAGACCTTTGTTCTCACGTATGGTTTTTTCTCTTTGATCACTGTGAGTCAATATTGAACCAAGTCAGTCGGAAGATCCTCTGCGACATAAATTGACATCGATCTCCTCAATTTTTAATTACTGATATGAGCAAGGCCGTTCTTTGTATTTCAGTAATTGTGAGACTTCTATAGGATCAGTAAGACTCAATTGCGAACTATCTCAGGTCTTTTAAAGAAATAAAATTAAATTTGGATCGATACGAAATGAATACCCAGTTCCGAGTACTTACAAACCATTATCATGGGACATTTTCCAAAAATCCTAACTTTATAAATATGAATGCATCAATAAAAATCATTATATTCTCCAGACTGTTCTCTTTACGTTTCCATCAGCACCGACAACGAGAATTTCTGAGACAATCAGGAGCTTCTTAAATTGGTGATTATTTCTTTTATTCTCACAACCTTTACATTGAATCCAAGGCTGGTACCGTGAGGAGAAATTAGAAGTCAGTCACTCTTAGGGGCAGGAGCTCACTACTGTTGTAGGGGTTAACTGGTGAAAGACCAAAATGTTCATATAAGGCTTTATTATACTTGTCTGTTAGATCTCATGATTATTGACGATATCAAATCGAGAAAAGTGAATTTCGGCTAATAAAACCTCGGCGTTTACAGAAGACGAGAAAGAGGAATATGAATTTATATATATATATATATAAATTTATATGGAGCCACCGGGTGTGATCTTATTGAGACAGCTAGCTTGACATGGAGATATGTTTCAATTAGCTCAGATTGTGGCTGAACGAACATAACAGCCACTTGGTAAGACCCAAAAGTTATTATTTTATCTTTCAATTCAAAAAATCATTCGAGATGGCTTCATTATTGTACTCAGATCAGAAAATGTCAAATATCACGGGTGTTCAAGAATATTGTGTGACCAAATGCTTTTTCTTTACTTTTGCATAATTAAGGTTTCAAAACTGTGATCTGAGAAAGAATTCATTTAAAGCGTAGGCGTTTAATACGACAAAATTGCAAGAAATATAGTTTTCTGGACTCCTCCCCCCCTCCACCCCCTCATGAGAAAGTAGCGTTACTGCGTGTGAAAATATAATTTCTTCTTGTAAGCAGCTCTGAAGGGGAAACAAGCCAACGTTGCCTGTGAAAAAACCTTAGTTTATGTTCTCTGATTCTAATATTGCGTGTAATTAGGCAGTGAATGTTATAGCCTGTAAATTATACTCCTTAGACCTGAGGAAATATTTAGGGGAAAAAAAACTTATTTACTTGGATGATTAACAACGGTTTGACACTTGACGTAAAAGCACTTCTAGACGTGCGATATTTGACGTTCAAACCCCAAGACAAAACTTAACCTGCAGGGCGTAGCTGTCGAAAACGTCAAAAATGAAACTGCAGGCAGTAAATGGTGCTAATTACAATCATTCTAATGACATCACGCGTCAATTTTTAGACGATATCAATGTAGCGCTTTTTGAAATGTTACGTAAAAGAAAAGACTGCAGTTGACATATCTGGCTCAGTTGTACCTCTGGGATTACAACGCCATTATAAGGACTTTACAACTTATGAAAAGATGTGTTAGAATTCTTGATTCAGCGCTATAGTTCAGCCTACGTTTGTCTCTCATTTGTTCGCAGCTTCTCTCTGAAAATCTACTCGAAAATTAAAGCCGACAATTAGTGTTTCTGCGCCAACTTAGTGTTATAATATTGAACAAAAATGCAAGAACTGTTATCGAACTTCAACTCGGAAATTTAGTTTTTTCAGATCTCAATTCGTCTTAGAAGCCTTTACACAGAGTTATCCCGCACCAATATTTTACATCAAATTCAAGTCACATGTTTAAGAGAAGAAAATTTAATTCAAAACTAAGAGAAGATCTCTTGATCAAAACAAGATGTAAGACATTCTATAAAGACATTCTGTACACTGTAGAATGATAAACTACGAGGTTATAGAAGTCATTCTGGGGCTGGTATTGCTGATATTTGTTTATGATACTTGGTTGGAACTAGTTTTCGTATCCTAAAATTTGCTTTCCCAACTTCTGAGAGTAAACATCACGTAATTCTTCTGGGTGCAAGTCATTTTTCTCGCACTTACCCTAACCATGGTTTGTGCCAGAAAAGGAAAAGGCAAAGGGAGCAGGAAAGACAGAAAAGATAAGGAAAGAGAACGACCTGAACCATTAGCGAGACTATGCACTCTAGATGACTGTAAGCTATGGCCTGGCAACGTTGCCTGTGAAAAAACCTTAGTTTATGTTCTCTGATTCTAATATTGCGTGTAATTAAGCAGTGAATGTTATTAGCCTGTAAAATTATACTCACGTAGCTGTCGTAAAGTTCACTCATGTGCACACGTTTGACCGTAGTGTTGCCGTGGCCCCTACCTGCAGGCTAAGGTGGCTTGTAGTTATGCTACGCCGGAATCAAGAGAGGATGTATTGACATACCAATTTACACTTCACTACAAAATACATCGGCAAAATTATGTCAGATTGAAATGTCCTCCATTTCACACCTTTACCTGATCAGTTACTAAATCTGCAACACTTGCAAGTCGGATAGGCGATCTCTTCGAACAAAACGAGGAGGAAATTGTATACAGAGCTTAAGAAATTAGATAACAACATTACAAGGTTCTCTCTCAGCTCAGAAAGTTGTAAGAATGAAAAAGAGACTAAAAATAACCTCTAATTTTCACCTTCATAAGTAGCGGAAGGTTAATGACGTATTTGGAACAAAACGTGTAGAAAATTGTACGCCACGCTAGAGTGATAAGATGACAAAAACATTTTGAACTTCCTTCTTGGCCGACAAATTTGAACTAAAATTACCTGGAGGTTACACCTTACCTTCATTTCCCACACTTGTGAACACATATTGCATGGGTAATCAGTGACGTGGGAAAAAAAGAAGAGGAAATAAAAATATCCTGCTTACGATAGAAGGTAACACCAGTGATTTAACCTTTTTTTGCTGGCGGTAAACGGATGAACTTGAATTAAAAAGGACTTTTGAAAATTTATCACGTCCCTGTTAACACCGTTTATTGCAAGTAATCAGATATGCAAATATGTCCAGGTAAAGATTACTTGACTGAGCGCAAAAATTTACATCTGTTTCAAGTGCAGCAGATATACTTTATGGACATCCTACTTTTGCAAGAGACGAGAACAACTTAAATCGCCCCGTCACTCTTATTAATCGCAGTGAAGCAGGACAACAGTATAATAAGATTGGCTTCAGTTCCCTTGTAAGCTTTTTAATTTTTTGAAATTAATTTTGTCACTAACTAACTAAATCATGATTATTATATTCAGTGTTGTTTCGTGCCGCCCAACTTGACAGGATCCATTTGCGTTCGTATGCGGTGCAAGCCGACTAAAGTGGCGGGTTAAAGACACGTAGATAACTGTTCGACGACTGAAGCTTCACTTTTTAACTTAAAACTCCATTCGTAACTTTGTAAATTCCTTTTTTTCTGTTAATTATCAAGGTACATGAAACAAATCATGGATCATGATTAACCAACTGTAGCGTTCGCGGGTGCATGTCCTCTGAAGGTAAAATTCTTGCTGTAAAGCATCACAGGTTGCAAATTAGGCTTTAATTGTTATGTAAAATTGTTATATACCTAGACTTTTACTCAAAAAAACATCAGGACTCACAGGAAAACGAAAGTAACTGTTTCCCTCGGGACCATGTAGTAAGGGTATAATGTTTCCTTCTTTCTTAGCGTCTTGTGGTTACCTGATTTGAAAAGTTTCTTGAGATTTAAATCATAAAGTAGAGCGGGGAGTTTCACCTGTTACTGTGGTTCCATAAACGACAGTTCATCCATGATAATATTATTATTGCAAGCTGTGATGCTCTTAAGCAGGAATTTTACCTTTAGAGGACATGCACCTGCAAACGTTGCAGTTGGTCGATCATGATCAAGTCTCAGTGAACTCAGTTGAACTGACACCGTGTTACCAAATGATATGTTTGCTGATTAGACTCTGGTTTAGGTTCAAATTAAAAGTGTACCCTCAACAGCATCAAGAGTAATTTAAATATTTCATCTCATGGTGCACATATTTGTTACAAGGAAACTTGTGGAGTAAAGATCTCTGTGAATCACCGAAAAGCCGAACAAATTTGCAATTTATGCCAATCCTCCCTATCCTCGATTATCTTCTCTCCTATTTGTTTGACCCAATAACCGAACATTTCATGATTTCTTTCCACGTAAGGTAATTAATTCCCCATATTAAGTTATTCGAAAAATTGAAAGTTAACTCCTTTACCTCCTCATTGGATCGATGCTGTTCGTTTGTGGCTCGATCGTCTCACGGTTAGCACTGGACCTTTTTAGCTGCAAAGCGTTTCTGTATATTCCCAAAAGTACAAGAGAGCAAACCTGAGATTCGTTGCTTTCAAATTTATAAACATTTGAACGTGTGTTAATATTTTATGTTTGTGTGAAAGAAAAGTCGATGCGTGAATTTAAGAACTTGAAAAGTAGCTCTACGTGGAGTAATGGTTGTGGCGAATGATATATAACTTACAAGCTTATAGACCCATGTAACCTAACCATCTGGTCCGGAAATAATCCACACTTTAGTGTGAAATTACAGAAAATTAAACGAACGAACTCGCAGCATCAAAAGAGAGCTATTGGTATTCATGAGATACAAATTAGCATGAGCAGTTTTTTTTCTGCAATTCTTTACCGTAGTTGTCAGGTTGTCAAGGATCCTTCTCGGTTTTCATTACTGTATTTCAAATAACAAAACATTTGTTTCTTTGATATTATTCGTATACGTTTAAGTTTCGAAATTTATCGAGAGGTAAAGATAATAACCGTGCAAAATTCTTGGCATGCTTAAACAATGCAGAAAGATGAAGTTGATTGCAAGACGTTTAAATTAGTCGGATTATAACACTTGCAAATAATCGAATGATTTATTCGTGAAAACTCTGAATATACGAGCTAAGGAAAGAGAAGCGCAGAGCAGAGCATCCAAACATCTTAGGTTCGATTCCTCGCGAGAACTCAGATCTTCAATAAGCCCACGCTCGTGACAAGACGAAAAAAAACAAACCTTTATTGCACTCAAAACATTTTAATCACCTATGCTAATTAAGTCTGATCTAAATACTAGGGACTGAGAATTTAAAAATAATGCAAATACTAAATGAATTGATACAAACGATGACGTATGATTTGTTAGGTAGTCAAGTAATATGACTTTCACCTCAAACGCAACAATCACGCGTCGGGGGACAATACAAGATAATGTATGGTTGGCCACCGTAAAGAGTTTCTAAAACTCCTCTTTACCGTGGCTAATTTACATCACCAACTAACTCAGTTGATAAAACCAAAAAATCTCTTGAGGAATAGTTCGCTATCAATTTTTTGTAACCTATACTTATATAGAAATCTTGCGTTGAGTTACAGGTCACTGTAAGAACCTCAAAGTGTCAAGTACACCTGAAAATTCAGCCTGAATATTAGTAAACAAATCATGAACAACACTACGGTTCAACGAGAAGGGCTTTGCTCTCAAATGGCATCAACGCTCTTTACAGTACTTTTATCCATCATCAGCTTAGGAGCTTTAATTGGTAACAGTCTTGTAATTGTTACCTTTTACAAAACACGAAGCTTAAGAACAAGCACTAACTACTACTACCTTGTCAACATGGCGGTGTCCGACCTTATTTGCGCATGCTTCAACTGGCCGCTGTACGCAACCGAAGGAATGCTGACCGGGTCAGAGTTTATCACTGAGCCTTTCGCGTCAGTCGTTTGTAAACTAGGATTGTACTTCAGAGGAATATCACAAATTGTGTCTGTCTTGAGCTTGGTTCTAATTTCTGTGAACAGATACGCCGCTATTGCTCTCCCTCTGAAGACTACGATGCTGTGCAGGAGAAACGTCCGCCTAATTTTGCTGTTTTCTTGGATTTTACCAGTTGTTTGTGGTCTTCCTTACTTATTCTACACAAGGGTTGTTAAACTGAACGGACCAGTATTTTGCCGAACTGTTTGGAGCAAATCACTGAACGCAATCTACATCGGCGTTGGGTTTGTTATTTTCTACTGTGGTCCACTCCTTGCAATAATCATATTTTACACTCTGACAATCAAGACATTACGGAAACGTCCAGTTTCTTTAGAAGAAAATTTGCCAAGTAAAATTTATGACAAAAGGAAGAAACAGAACGAGAAGGTCATAAAATTCGTGATAATAATCGTTGCAGGCTTTTTTATTTGTTGGACTCCCCTCATTGTTTATCTGGCTTTGAAGATGTTTCATCCAGAACTCTTCCCGAAAGACGTTTGTCTGATATTTGTTGGCGCTCTCTTCTATGTTCTTCCATCTTTAAGCACCGCCATAAACCCTGTCATCCTTCTCCTGCTTAGTTCAAACTACCGTAGGGCACTGAACGACTTAATTCTTTGCAAAGTCTTGAAAGGCCGTCTGTCATATTTGTCAAGAAGGAGGACGCGCTCATCGAAGAACAACACCATTTCCTATGAATCGAGACTGTAGAACTACGATGTTAAGAAAATCCAAAATCAGAAAAGAAAGGGAGTAACACATAGAGACAGACTCTTGACAAATCCTCGTGTTTGTGGCTTCGGTCTGAGTACTATAAAATTTGTATTTAATTAATTTACGTGTTCTTATGCAAATACACATATGGTCAAATATATATCCAAATTGCTCTCCGTTATTGCTATATTCGCCATTTTTTTACCAGTCTGAAGTAATTCAAATCCCAAATCCCAGTTCTTAATGTAATAGGAAAAAAGATGGTTTAAGCTCTCGTAAGCCACCAATATCGGGAACTCAAAAAAGAGGTATTAACTATAGCAGATAGCTTACGATAGCGCTCTTAGACATAGGCCCCACGCCATGAACAATAGAGTGTGATCTGTTACGAGAGCTTTACTCTGATTAGCTTAAAACTTGCGAACTATAACTAGCTATTAATAGTCCAATATTTTTGCCTGTTTCAGGTTCACAAACGTGCAGTAAGCTCAGTAATCCACAGGGATCGAAAAATACCCAGAATCACGTAACAGACAACTACTGTGTATCATAAATGAAAACAACTTCCTTATCAGTTTAAACAACACGAAACTCGTCACATTTTTTGGACGGTTTTCAATACCTGTTAGTTTTCCCTCACTTATTCGTTGTCATGATTCTTGTTTGTTTAGTGTTACCTACTTCCGTTGTCTCCTTCCTTCTCCTGTTTCTCGTTACCTCGTTTTTCGTTTGAAATCTTCCTGGCGAAGCAAGAAGTTCTACCTAAACCCCCTCGTTTCATTTAATGTTACGATTCCCGTGGCAGAAGAAAAAAAAAACATCGGCCATCAAATAATAGTATATAAATTTCAGGTATAAAAATGGTGGATAGCAAACAACTATTTCACATGTAAAGACTTCCTGTTAGACTCAGTTCTAGGAACGATAGTGAAAACCAGTTCAAGATGTCCTTTAAAAGCATTTTCGCCTGCAATTTTAGCTCTGATGACGATATGCGAAGTTGTGCGTGATCAAAATATGATGTTGTCGTATGAGTAAGCATGGAAAATGTTAATGGCCAATTAAGAAAATTAAAATTGACATACAGTAAAATTGCGCTTGCTGCTGTTGTTGGTTCAGCTTTTGGAAGAGCAGAGGCAATTTTCTTTTCATTTTTTCACATTCAATTTCTTAATACGCGTTTGTTCAAAGCTTTGAAAACTCTCTTGAGGTGACAGGTATGATGAGTTTACTTTCGACCCCTTTTAATTTCCTTTTATTCAGTTCAAATGACCTATTATTTGTTAAAGAATGAAAACCTTTTCCTATTATTCTCACAACTAAAGCGAAAAGCGAAAGCAATCGTAAAGCAATTATGAAAAGAGACTCCTCACAACTAGAAAAAAAACCAATCAGTTAAATAAATGTATTCCCTTGATGATTGATAGCTGAGAGGGAAGCAAGGAAATATGCTAATTTTTATGACACTGTTAAAAAAGGAAAATGTTATATGATAATAGAAAGACAAATATCGCTGGTGTAAGATATAAATACATCGGGGAAACGTGATTTACAAAAAGATGTTGAGTCACTTCGCGTCGAAATCTCCCGGCTAAGATAACAGACGACTGTGATGAGGTGGGTGCCTTTAGTTTTGTATTATCTTTAGAGGATATGTCATGAAAACGAGGGTTAAAATTAATAAGAAGCGTTATGTAGTTGCTAAATGAACTACGAAAAAGGGCGACATCGTTATTTTAGACTTTGGTTCATCTAAAGTTGGTTGTATACTTGATCGTACTGCTTCTTGATTAATGTAACGCAATCTGGCAATCGGTTTTCAGTAGGTGACCTCTGAAACTTGGCTATTTGTAAGATCGGACAGTCTTGACTTTAGTTAGTTCGATCGTCACCTCAACAGTCATTCGGTTGCACTTTGTTTGAGAAGATTGTCGCATTTTGTAACTCTTAACGTACTTGGTGTAAGTTCGAAGTGTGACATCTTTTTTCTCCTTAATGATACAATGGCGTAGAAAAACGGTAGATGTTAGCTAGCGAGGTTCTGTCGCACTTTGAAATGATCGTTTACCGAGCTCAAAACTTGCCATCTCTCTTATTCTATCTAAAGACTTGTTTTATCTTCCTTTTGTAATTAATTCATTTGTACGTTTTCTTTGTTGTTCCCACAGTTCAGCATCGTCACAATTCTTTGCGAAACGTGTAGCAATGAATATTTCCAGTTTTTCTACGCCTACTTTGAGTCACCCCAGTCCAAGCCAACCCTGTTCTAACGTGGTGTCCACGCTATTTATAGTTATTATATCCATGGTCACACTCGCGGCTCTGATTGGCAACGTTCTCATCATTGCAAGTTTTTTCAAAACTCCCAACCTGAGGACGAGGACTAATTATTATATAATCAACATGGCCATGTCTGACCTCATTTGTGCATGTTTTAGCTGGCCACTTTATGCAGTTGAAGGAATGCTGACAAGAGCTGAGTTCTTCAACCAACACTCTGCCTTAATTCTCTGTAAACTGGGAATTTGCTTCAGGGCAATTTCACAAATAGTGTCCGTGTTATGCTTGGTTCTAACATCCGTCGACAGATATGCGGCTATCGTTCACCCAGTAAAGATAACGGTAATGAGTAATGGCAAATTTCGAGTTATTTTACTGTTGTTTTCTTGGATCATTCCTGTTTGCTTTGCTTACCCATATTACACGTTCGCTGAAATTGTGAAGGTAAATAACCAAACATTCTGTAGAGTAGTTTGGAGTGCATCAGCTCACATAATTTTTAATGCTGTTGGATTTGTTATATTTTATTGCATGCCTCTTGCTGGTATAACCATTCTCTATACTCACATCACAAAGACACTTAAAAATCGTCCAAACATAGGAAACTCAGTCCAAGAAAAGCATATCAGAAGAAGACGAGATCAACATCGGAAATTAATGAAAATCTTAACATCAATTGTTGCCAGCTTCTTTACTTGTTGGACACCACTTTGCATTTATTTGGCATTAAAAATGTTTCATTCAGGGTTGTTTCTTCAAGATAAATGCTTCTTACTCCTAGGTTTGTTTTTCTACGTCTTTCCGTCATTCAGCACAGCAGTCAATCCTGTTATCCTTTTCCAGTTTAGTTCAAAATTTCGACAGGCGATGAAAAGCTTTCGTATTCCTTTTCTTGATTTCAATAAATGTCGCCGGTTTCTGTGCATACCCAAGAATAGGGTTGGATCAGTTGAAATAGATCATGTTGGTAAGGCAGAGTTAAGCTAGATGTCTCTCATATTTGACGGATTTGGAAAAACACTGATAATAAATAACTGGTCATAGCAGAAAAGCCACGAGATTGCAACAATTCAGCAACAAAAAGCTGTAGTTCAAAAAAGAGAATGGAAACTTCTCAATCTTACAAGGATTGCAAAACATTGCGCAATGAAATAAAATGTATAAAAAGTCGACTTCAATTTGGCGTGTTATTATTGTTAATTACAACCATGATACAGTGAATAATGATCAGTCTTAAAGTTAATAACTTAGTTTTCCAGTATCAGCCGGGAAATCTTACGAAATAAGAAGTGGTCGGCCTGAATCCGATAATGCTTGTAAAACATTTAATGTCAAAATCATGTCTCTTTATGTTAGGGATATACTTTTGTATTTAGAATTGTTAAGATGTCAAATAAATAAAATGAATTACGTTTACGTATTCCATCTCAACCCTAACTTAATCACTCCTGCCTAAAAGGAAAAGGTACTGGGTAGAACGTAAACAGGAAACCCGTTTTCAAAAAAGTATTTTTGCATAGACATTTTCAAAACCTCTTTCCCATCAGGCAACAACATCCTAATCACATTTTATAACAGATGTCAAATGACAGTGATCAATAAGTTTGTTCAGAGATAACGAGGTAATGACATGTATTCTTGTGTTCTCTTGAGGAAAGAAATCGTAAGAAAAGAACCACAGAAAATGAAAAGTAGCATCTTTCATTGTCTCAACATCAAGCTTATGATGTGATACCTGTGAGCTCAGTACAGCTGAGAGCGTTTAGTTGTTGTGACTTTGACGTGACTGAGTAACCTAACCAAAATGTTTCCTCTCCACAGAGCAGCCGTTAATGCTCACTTGATGTCATTTTTTTTCCCACAGCACAATAACATATACATCTTAGTGCAGTTATCTTATTTATTTCCACTTTTTTCTGATCCAAATGAGTTAAGAGTCGTTTGCGAAAAACAAAGTCCTTCAAATATATACCTAATGCAATATAAAGTAGAAGTAAGTTTTACTTTGTAGCATGAGGATATTGGACCTGTTATGGTTTTAAATGACAGAGCTAAAAATTATTCATAATGCGGACTCCCTGTCAATTTGTTTGTTCTTAATCGTGCACACATTCATACATCCAATAACATGACGAGAATTGGCTGACAATTTCATTTGTATTTCGAACCATATACAGAGGTGTCAATATTCTCGTTCTTTTGCGCCTCAAGTTTTGCGGATTGATATCAATACATCATTCGGTTAAGCTGTAAGTAAGCGGTAAGTCACAATTTGTACGAACTTGACATGAGAGAGCATCAATTTGGGAGATATTTTTTCTTTGAATAAGAGATTTCGTCTCGACGTTGCCTTTTTCCTATATATTTAATTTGTATATCAGTTCACAGCTCTGTTTTCTTTTTCTGCGAATTCAATTAAATGCCAATTTTTGGTTACTCATAAGTTTCATGTTTGTCCTTGTTGACACACCATAGTGAAATATCGATTCTTAGAAAATTGTCCGCTGAAAATATGAGCAGGTGCATTAGGTGTAGGACTGAAAATTCAGTATTTCCTCTCAACCAAAAAAAAGTTCCAGCTTTAAAAGAGTTTCAGTTAAATAACATTTCATTTTTTATCTTTTTGTACAAAGGCAGTCCTACAGGAAAAATGAAAACATGGATAAAGCCATTCTTTAGGGTGTTAGAGACGCAAACGTGACTTAAGAATCTAACCTAATTAATGCAATAACTGTTTGCTAGAGTTCTTTTGATCACGAAATATCTCAGTGTTATAACTGAGGTAAGATTTCTTTACATTTTCTGTAGCCTTATCCCGTGTGTTAAATCAATACGTAACAGGATGTTGATCCTTGGAATGTTATCATTTTTAAGCGAATAGAAAAAAAATCGAAGAACGTGTTATGTACATTATGTTTGCGACAAATTTAATTTGCGTTAAAATATTGCACTCGCTCAATGGTTCACGTAGGTCAAACGTTTTGGAGTTTTAATTGCAGTTAAAGCCCAAATTATATCTAGCAATAACATCAATATTTCTTTCACGTTTCTTACAGTTTGCTATGGTTCAATGGCCCAAAACTATTTGACAATGTCGATGTGCTCGTTATCTCGCAATGGTCATTAAAACTCATTCGCAAGTTTGTCGCAGTTCCCGTTCAAATATATTGTGCAATTTACTGTGGATATTTGCCATAAATAATCCCCAAACATAACATGCGGATATGGTGACCAAAATTAATGAACATTTATTTCGGCCTTTATTATTTTGTCCATTTCTGAAGTTCGTGAAGTAAGTTTTCAAGAAACGTTTGCCGCGATGTAGTTTGCGAGGCAGAAAGTTAGCCGTTCTGCTCCATGGTGGACGTCCTTCGTGATGTCCTAGAAATTTCCCGTATACAAAAACTGCAGAAAGAACTGGAAACACCACGATTCTCTACATTGCTTTTAGAAGGAATCAAGGTTACCTTTCGCAGGTTAATCGTTTTGTTGAAAACATCCTCTAACAGAAATATATTTTCTTGCAGGTGTAGGCATGGACTGCCATTTTACTATTCATGTAATGCTTAATGTTGGGTTAAAAATCCCAATTTTATCTCCTGAACTTTTGATTTATGACATTTACAAATTACAACGAGAAAAAGTTTTTTTTTCAAGCAGCTTATTGATATCTGGGTTATATTTAAGCTTATAAATGCGTCTTAACTTTTTCAGTCAAGTGGGACTAATTTTGAAGCCATCCAACAGAGCGGTTTACAACAAACAAACAAAACATTTTCCAGAAGACTGAGCTTATCATGACAAACAACTACAGCCATACGATGATGAATTTCAGTGATAGTGATTCACCATGCCCTGACACTATTTCTATATTTTTCACAACATCTACGGCTTTCCTAAGCATGGTTGCTGTACTTGGAAATATTCTGGTGATCGTTGCAGTGTACAAAACTCGAAGCCTTAGGACAAGTACTAATTACTACTACGTCAACATGGCCATTTCTGATCTTCTCTCAAGCCTCACCATTTGGCCGCTTTATCTTTCAAACGAGATCATAACGAGCAGAGGAAGTCTGTTTAAAGGGTCTCTGGCCACTGCTGGTTGCAAAGTGGGAGTATTTTTCAGAATGACGTCAGTTATTGTGTCAATACTGAGCCTGGTGTTGATCGCTGTGGATAGATTCATCGCTACCGTGTTCCCATTAAAATCAACGTTGGTCACTGGGAAAGTCAGAACATTTCTGCTGTTTGCGACATGGACGATATCAATGGCATACTGCTTCCCGATGCTGTATTATTCCAGAGCCGAAGACTTTGGTCAAGAAACTTATTGCAAATTTGCATGGAATAGCAGTGCTCTCATGATATATTATATTACTGGTTTGGCGTTGTTTGAGATCGCACCAATTATTGCCATTGTCATTCTTTACTCGCGGGTTATGAGTGTTTTGCAAAAAAGGATTAAACCAGGAACTGGTGCGAGAGACAGCAGTTCTTATCAATATCGGAGAAATGAGCAAAACCGAAACATTTTGAAGATATTCAAATCAATCGTTGTTATGTTTTTCATTTCTTTTTCTTCCTTTTTCGTTTATTTGATTCTCAAGATGACATTTCCTGAACTTTTCGTCAAAGACAAATGCAAGTGGATTCTTGGGTTCGCTTATTTTGTGTTTCCGTCGCTAAGTTCAGTAATTAATCCAATTATTTTATTTGCATTCAGCACGAATTTCCGTCAAGCCCTGCGTAAATTGTGGATGTTTTCTCTCGGGAGATTCTTCTGTGGCAGAAAAGAGAAAAGTTAACTAGTTGAAGCTGGTGGCCTTCCAGCAGAAGAAACTGGATTTAAGTCAATGGCGCACTGAATATATATGAACGAGGGATTTAATTACAGCGATACAGTTTGCAGATTTGTTTAAAACATTATGTCATGAATTTACTTTTGATTTCCTATGGGGATATTTAAAAATTAAGTTGAGTAATATTCTTAAGACACCGTGGTCTGCGTTTTATCATTTAATTTTAGCACAGCTTCTTGAATAAAGTTGTCTATTATTTTTCCTCAGACAGAGTCTTGAAAAAGATTATCTAAGGACTTATCATACATGGAATATCTCACACACACTTCCAAATTATGTAATGATAATTTCCCTTTGTCTAAATTACGCTTTTGGCTCACACTTCTAAATCACACAATATTTAAGAGCACTTTTTGGTTTTATAAAACTAAAACCAAAGTAATCCCGACGGCCAAAATCAGAAGGAAAGAAAATACCCCTAAGAGCCAATGAGAACTCAAAGTAAAAACTACCAAACTATCTGCAGCGGGAGAACGTGGGCGATCAATTCATGATTGGTTTTAGTTTTGTATCTGATTAGTTGAGAAGGTGGTGCAAGTTTTCTGGACCAATCACAGAGTGAAGAAAAGCATAACCTACACAATCTCGGATTACTCACGACACTCAATTGAACATTGTTCCTTGCTTCTAGCGTACAACTCCAAATCACACAGACTTAAATTGTACTTTGACACACCCTCCAAGTTGCATTAGAGCTCTTCCTTGTGGAACACACTCGAAATTACATTAAGGTTCCCTTATGCTTTAGGCAAACACTCCCAAGTCATATCGCTCTTCATGAGAGACACTTCTACATCACACAAGATATTATACTAGAGTACACACTTTAGAATCACACAAGAGATTTTGCTCCTAGCAGACTCTTTCACACAATCACACAAGAGTCTGTTGTTTGAACGGCGGAGTTTGACCGAAAATTCTCTCTGATTGAGAATTTTCAATGAATCATCATGGAGTTTCCTAAAGTTCATCATGAACCATGGCCAGCTTGAGGTCTTTGGCTATGTTAACAAAACCACCAATGCATTCATTCATTTTCATTTTCAGCCTTTTGTCTTTCTTGACGTCATTCATGTGAAGTACACAAATGGTAAGGTCATCGTAGAATCGGAAATAAAGCGATTTTGTCGTCAAGTCTTTGACAACAGACCAAACAGTGTAATCAAAGGACGTTCCGCGGGGTATATCAACGGTATTCAAGATGTGAAAAGCCTTGATAACTGCGTCTTTGCCTGTCTGGACTTGATCGGAAAAATGAGCCATGACAGCCGCGCGTACAAATCTTGATGGCGGTGTGAAGTCACCGGGTATTCCTAGGAGTCCACTTCCTTGGCCAGTAGCTTCGAACGTCATTTTGCCCAACACCAGAGAATCATGGGCCGATTTGGAAAGTTCAACATAATTGCGGACGTTCATTAGATGGAAATCATAGGGCGGGGAGTTAGTTAAGATGCCGAGAGTGTTGTCGAATACCATTCTCCCCTGTTCAGTAAACTCAATAACGATAGCATCCCCAGAAGCGTCCACGATGGAATAGTGAAGCTGAAGGATTTTCTTAACCTTTTCAGGAAGGTTAAACTCAAACACCAGAGGGAAAGTGTCCTTCTTCAAAGCATCCCTTAATTCCTGAACTGTCCCAAAGTTTCCAAGAATCCACAATGGAAGCTGCAAAGAAGACACCGCCATGTGGCATTTTTCGACCGGTATTTTCTGGAAATGGGCGAAGCCAACGAAGAGGTTTGCAGCAACAGAAAGACCAGCTTCATTAAAACCATCGGTAGCTACGGGCAAGTCCAAAGCGTTGACGTATGCAATGCTATATTTATTTTTCCACTGTAGAAGCGATGGGGAATGAACGATGCATTCTTTCTTAGGAATCGCTATATCAGGATACTGCTCAGGTTCTACAACGAGATCATACCTTAGATCGAAGAACTCCATACTCCGACCGACGACCACCGAGTTATCTTCGGAAGTCAAGCGGAATTCGGTACAGGCGTTTGTAACGAAAAGCCTTAGCAGCAGCACGAGGACCATGGAAAGAACCTTCATCATCACAGCTCGCAAGAGGAGATCTAAACCAACAATTAAACCACATATAATGTAGTTCTACATAAATTTTTATAGGAAATTGCTGTCAGGTTTTGCAAAGAGGAATTTTAATCACGGGCTCCCTAACGTCGACACTTAAATGCTACTTTTTACAAGGTTGTGTTTCTTAACTTCTGAATAGACTTTACGGTAAAACTTTCCATTACTAATGATAGGGTGAAATGTTTTCACACCCACTTTATCCAAACAATTTTATTTACGTCTCCTCTCGGCTTAATTACCAATTGGCTTGTTCGTGTTGTTTCTTCATTTGTTTCTAATTGTTTAACCTCCTTGGATGTTTTTGCTGCCGTTTGAAGATAAAACGACTTAAGTAGATTAAGTAGATACCTACCTCGTTTCCTTTCTTTTGAAGACTTTAAAATAGAAATTTAAGTATTCTTCTGATGACGACAAGCAAAGTAACGAGAAACTTTTTCATAAACAGGAAGTTTTAAGGCCCTGAGTTGTGATTTATTAGATGACGTCAGATCGACGTACTTAAGGTAAAAAGGTTGGCAGGGCTTAGCCGCAATGAATTATCATATGGAAAATCAAGTTGGTTTTGTCTATTAAAGTTTACTCTCTCAAGTTTGAGGCGCTTAGAAATTTTCAAAAGTAATTACTCAAGGCTTTTGTTTGAATCTCTTACATTTCTTCCACTAGGTAGAGAGACCCGGCTTTTGGGAACTTTAGTATTCTGTCTTAAAACTTTGCGAAGTCAGTTCAATGCAAAAACTGGTCTCACTTCATTGAACCACCATGGCTCTTGTACTGGAAATGCATTAACCTTATACTAAGGATGTGGATCATAGAAGACACTGAGTCATCGGAACTGACAAATAAATCCTTCAGGTTAATAAACATGTTAAATTGCTTAGTTTCTCTGGCTTTTCGTCAACTTTTTGAATTGATTTCAGTCAGTGTTATGGGCATTATTCAGTAGAACTGCTGTTAAAACTAATGCGGTTTATATTTACATACTGTTGTTTTTCCCGTTCAAGCAAATCTGTCTTTACAGTAATAAAATTGTTCCAACATTACACAGGAAGTTAATTCTCAACATCCCTCAAGCGATCCTTGGTAAGAGACCTTTTTCACCTAAACGAAGACAGAGTATTAATTTCTTTCTTCTACCCCACCGTTGAGCTACGTTTTCACGGGCATACGGCCCATTGTAAGAGAGACTTGTTCGCGAGACATCTCTCTATACCAAAGGCATTGGTCTTTCCAAGGAACACGACGCGGCGAGTGAAAACTAGACTACTAACACCTACAGAAGACCAGTGGTGAATACTTTGTTAGAAGAAATATAACTTTGAGTCCTGCGAGTTTTGGAGAAATAGTCCACTACGATGTGTCGATTTTGCGCATTGAACTGATTTTGCAATTTGAATGGCGTCAAAGAAATCTCTAGAACTTCCGTTTTATATTTTAACGCACTCAAACTTGCGTAATGCTCTCTGCGTATGATCATGCAGTCCAACATTGTGCCTATTATCAAAGTCACAGAAATTAATAACACCTTATTACTCTGTCACATTGGCTCGGTATTTAAACTTATCAGTGTATCTGATTTCCACTACTCTACGTTCCTTTCTCTACTAGATTGAACCAACTTCAGCACTACAACGCTAAATTAATGTCGGTAAAATGATATTCATGTCGATGAACCAAGTCATTCCAGTTTGGTTTAAACCCTATACTCATGTAAATACTTTCTTTAGTCCAGTGAATTTGCATATACAGCTGATATAACCATGTCACAGTATTTGATAGTATTTGATAATATTCCCCTTTAAGCCAGGGGTCGTGACGCTATTACGCTGCGCATAATAAACTCACAAAATATCAAGAATCACTTTTTTAAAACAGTCAACTCTTAGTTGTTTGTGTTTAACCTTTATGACGACAGTCGAAGGATCGCAGGTGTGGTGTCGATATTCTTTGTGTTTAGGCCTCCGTTCAGACCAAGAAATGGATAATTCTAGTAGCTATGTTCTCGAGAACCAGTCCACTTGTTCTCCCATCGTTTCTGCTTTGATCACAACAGCTATTTCTGTTGTTAGCATTTTTTCGTTGGTCGGCAATATTTTGGTGACTGCAGTTTTTCTTACCAACAAAACCCTTAGGACAAGTACAAATTATTTCATTGTTAACATGGCCGTTGGGGATCTATTGTCCGCTGTGAGCACATGGCCGCTGTACGCCACTGAGGGGATGCTGTCAGGGAAACATTTGATCGATGATCCAGCAGCCACAGCTGTTTGTAAAATAAGTCTGTATTTCAGAGGCGTGTCACAGGTTATTTCAGTTTTCAGCTTAGTCGGTATAGTCGTGGAGAGGTTCGTTGCTGTAGTTCATCCACTTAAGGCTAAAGTTCTGATGGAAAAGACTCGACCCCGAGCTGTTTCATTGGCACTGACTTGGATCATCCCGTTACTACTAGCTGTACCATACCTCAGATTCTTACGGATCGTTAGGCTTAATGAGAATCAACCACTCTGCTCGCTTTCGTGGGAAGCGGAGAACCGCTATGTATTCTATGCTATTGGATTTGTTATGTTCTACTGTACCCCCCTGGTTTTGATCATCGTTCTTTATACCAAGATCATAAAAAGTTTGAAGCGATCAAGACGTGTCACTGATGAGCAGGACCAAGCGCTGAATAAGATAAGAGCAAGAAATCACAAACAAAACCAGAATATTATGAAGGTCTTTGCATCAATTGTCGTGGTCTTTTTCGTCTGCTGGACTTCAATTGTTGTATATCTAATATTACTTGAAGCAGTTTACCCATCGCAAGACAGAGACTCTTGTTTGCTTGTACTAGGTTTGTTATTTTACATATTGCCATCTTTACCAGCAGCAATCAACCCCATAATACTTTTCGTGTCGAGCACAAATTTCCTTACTGCTTTGAAGGAAATGTTCAATCGTTTTTTGTGCATAAAGTTATGGATGAGAGGCTCTCGTTGAACTTAATTTGGTGATTAACAATTAAGGAGTGAGGATTGTTCTTTTCAAAAAAAATCAAATTTGAACGAAAGCTTCTGAATAAAATAGAAAGGACATTTAAATTACATTAATACAAAAATTCTCCTGGTCGTAAGCAGGAGAGTGACTTTTCTTTGCCTTAATAAAGGCGGACTGAAATACTTCACGCAATATCCACTAATATTTCCCGCCTACAAAGCATTTTGCGTGTTTGTACAAAGATACGGAAAAAATAATAAAAAGCTTTGTCCGAGTTTGGCTTTCTGCATTTTACAATTCTATTAAAGGTCATCTCATCTCTAGAATCATCACCAGAACGTGCGATTTTGTTTGCCATTTGTACATATAGAAATGAGCTTGAAATGAAGCCTTTGATGTGAAAATGTAAAAGAAAAATCGATGGGGTTAACTTGATTACTTCAACAAAAGTTATCGATGTTTGAAGCACGGTTATCTCCGTCATTTAATGAGTTGTAACGGCTGAGAGGTTGTAGTTTTTCGTTCAATATTTCAAGTGACATAATATAAACCGAAGATCATGTTTAAGCCTCGAACTCCGCTACTTTTGCGCTTCACACGAAAGATGAAAAAGTGTCAGTTTGCCATAACACCATTAGCAGACATATCTCGATACTATCAAATCGGTGGCCAGAAGATAAGTTCAATGTACGTAAATACCAAATATTTCCGGGAAGTTGCATCATAGGTATTAACAACAACACGTCAGTTTAGGAACTGAGTCACGTTATCTCGTACGTGCCGGCTCTTTCGCCTGGAATTAGGATACCCGTTCAGATGGTAATTTTTGTCACGACCGACCCACATGAGTTAAAAACTACGCTTTAAGCTTGAGATTTCAAACGCATGATAGTTGACGAAGGTGAAGCTTGAAAAAAGTATCACGCACAGAAATCGAGAGCCAATAATCGAATTTTTCCTGAATAATTCTTCTAGGTGTTGAAAATCTAACATGACAATATCATGTTTTTATTTTATTTTGTTGACAACCACACAATGTTAGATAACTTACTTTATTCAAATATTTAACTCGAAATAGCTGGCAAATAGCCAATCAGATCGCAGCATTTGTGGCAGAAAGCGGAGTAGAGCACAGGAACACGACATGCAATGTTCAAAAATACTCACAAACATTCTACTTTGGTACAAAAGAAGGGTTTTAAGTTATACCTTTTACTAAGGTTTAGCTATGTGACTTTAACTTTTGGGGCTTTCGTTTTCAAGTGAATTATTGGCGGATAAGTCACGTTTCTAGAGTGGGCGTGAATATTGTTATTCGTACAGATGTCTTGAGCGTCGAGATATTCTTTAAGCTTAAGTCCATATGTCCCTACAAAAATAAAATTATAACGATAAACAGGCCGAAGATGGTTTAACTTGAATAATTTACCCATTTATAACAAAAGATTAGGATGTTTGGGGAGTATTTTTCTAAAACGTATCTTAAAAAAAACATCAGCCCTGCATAAACACATTTCATGACATGGATATTTCAAGTAAAAGCGTTTTTTAGATAAAATCATGTCAGTGTTGAACTCCAAACACTGCTGGCAGG